CTTAGAAAATAATTTGTTCTTTATCTTCAGCCACTTTAATATTTTAGCTCTGGCATCTATTTTGATTTAGATTTCCATCCGGGATACAGAAGCAGCAGAATATATACTGTAAGAGATGATAATGTCAGGAACTGGCTTAGGTGATGGCGGGATTATATGGACAGGTCTTAAGCCATAGGCTGTCAGTTATCTGGAAGAATATGCTCAGGCTGGAATAGGTGGAAAAAAATACTCCATAGGCAGTTTTGTCTTCGAAAAAGCCTCACTTAGGCTCTTAACCCCTTCAACTGATTGAGTCAGGATCACCCAGTTATCTAGTATAATCTTCTTGACTAAAGTAAACTGTACATTTTAATCATTTCAAAATGCATTCTCAGAAGCATCTGGATTAGTCTTTGAATAATGTGGGACTATAGCCTCAGCTTGTTGACTCAAAACCTGCTTCAGCTAAGAATTTGTCATTGTCAGTCTTACTAGATAAACATTTATTCAGATGTCATTTAAAAGATGATGAGCTAGTCTCTGTTTTTACTGGAAATAGTAAGAGAATGATCTAGTAACTGCATTATAACCTTTCATCTCACAGCAGTAGTCTCAGTTTACCTCTTAGACCTTTCTTACACATCTTCTCTTTATTCAACTCCTTGATTCTTTCATGTTTAGTATTGTGCAGTTCAGCCACAGCAATACATGGCATTCATGAAATGTCTGTTAGAAGAACGATTATTTCATGACTCTTGTTTTGCTCTTTAAAGTTCATCTTAGTATGACATTTGTTATTTTTATAAATAATGCCACTATGCTGCTGACTGATATTTGGCACATTATGACCCCCAGATACTTGTGTCATATTTTATTCTGTGAAACTATACAGTTTTCATAACAAACAGAAGTTATTGTCAAACAGTTGTCCAAAGTTTGAGGATGAATTTTCTAGTGATTTCTGGAAAAAAACTCGTTGACATTGGAAACACTGTTTTGTATACATGCTGTTACCTCTGGGAGAAATGTCGATATTCTGGCAAGGATTGTGACTCTGCTGAATTAGAACAGTGCTTCAAAGTCCTAGAGAGTCCCAAAACTTCAGCAAACTCAGGTTTTTTATTTTGAATGGAGTTCCAGAAAAAGCCTGCCAAATGGGCTGTTTTTAAAGGTCACTTTAAGATTGATGAATTTTTAGTATTGTGCCAAGCACTTTGAATATCTCACGTACACATGAAATTTATAAATGTACAATTTAAAACTGTTAGTGGAGTGTGGACATTTAATACATTCTGGTGGCTTTTGTCTTACATGAAAAGAACTGGCAATGTGTATTAAAGTTAATTTACAACATAGGCATATAATTTCTGTACTGGACACATCTCTGTCAAAGTAATTACTGTCATCATATAAGGCTTACTTATTTCTAATGACTGCAAAATGCCTGTGCTCAACGTAATTCCTTTAAGAAGTGTCTTTATATTCGATATTTGTACATTTAAGGTGCCATTCTATATGCTGGTAATAAAATATTGAGACCAATGTCATTCCTGCTGTCAAGAAATAATATTTCTACTTCCGACTTACTTTGCTGAACACAATCTACCACATTCCATGTTGTCACTAAATGACCAAGAGTTTATCTACTTTCATGTGGAATACAGGGAAACAAAAGAAAGGGTCAGGCAAAACCAAACTGATAATAAACTGAAATCTGAGGGAGGGGGAATGCAAAGTGAGGAGGGAGCACATTGAATTATGTTGGTCTGTGCCCTGATGGTCTGTGTAGCATCTTGACACCTGAAGGGGGTGATCCCATATCCCTAAGTCATACACATTGTTGTAAAGCATTGTAGTGTCAATAACAACAACAAAACCAGAAGTATATGATCTTGTGGAGAGCAATAATATATGTCCCTGAAATAAGTACCACAAAAGAAAAGTAACATGTAGAAATTGATTTTGAGGACTAAAGTGTTCCTTGAGATACAGCACTGCAAGCTGGCTGCAGTTGCTTTAGTACAAGTTCGATCCCCCACCTGCGAGGTGCTGCAGACCTCTCCTGACCCGCTCACTGTTCCCCTTAGCAGTGAACTTGGTCAGTCTGCCTGTTCTGCATGCTACTCTGTCACTGGTGAATTCTCTCACCGCCCCTGTACCTCTGGCCTGCACCCCAGTTCTGTATGCATAAATAAATCAATAAATCTTTTTTAAAAAAGTGTTCCTTGAAAGTTACCTCATTTAACTGACGCCTGAGGAGTAAATAGTAAACTGTTATTTGCTATGTAACAGGCACTAATCCAGGTCTTTATTTCAACTAATGTTTTGGCCTCACAGTACTCTGGCTTTCTCGGCTTCAGAAAAGGAAAGAAGGAATGGAGAGGTTAGTAATCGCCTCCAAGATCACTGCTAGTGAGCAGTCAGCTTGGTATCTGAGCCCATGCAGACTAGTCTCGGCCCTCCACTGCTGTGTTTCACAGTTGGAGTTAACTCAGACAAACAAACGCATAGGACATTTCAAGCTCAGGGAACCCATGTGGTAGTTAACCTCCAGGAAGCCTGTGTGACTGGAAGTTGGTGTGCTAGAAATAAAATAACAAAAAGTGAAACTGGAGGAGTTACATCATCAGATTTATTTATTATTTTATCACTTAAACATGTTGGAGGAAATAAGCATTAACTTGAGATAAGTAAAGTAATGGTTGCTGTAATCCACTAAGAGATGATGTTGACTTGGACTCAGATTGTGACAGTGGGGCAATGTATATAGATTCTAAGAGACGCTGGGAAAGGAAACAGCAGGACTTTTTGTTTGAATTTAAGAAAGGGTGATTACTCCTGAACTTTTAGCTGGAGAAGTTGGCCAGATTGAACCATTTATCTAAAAGGAACACTACTAAAAGAGCCAAAAGAGGAAAGTTTGGGTTCTTCTGTTGAGTTTGAGATGACTTTTAAGAAATTGCCTAGAAAAGCCTGTAGTGCCTAAAAGGTGAGCCTTAAGACAAAGGTTGAGATGCGTCAGCCCTGGGAGAAGAGGGGACACAGTGGGGAGACCCAGAATCACAGAGGGAAGACCCAGAAGCACTCGCATGTTTAGCAAGAGGAGCCGATCTGTGGAGTACCCTAGGAGAGGCCCCCAGCTAGGTGTCAAGAAGTCTGATGGATGAAGCTGGAAAGCAAAGGCATGTAGCCCCCCTTTGGTTTTCTGATAGTATGGTTTGATTTTTCCTTCTAGAACTTCAGTGTTGCACTAAATTGCTTGAAGTTCAATTTTGCATGCTCTTGTTTTTAATTGAATTTCTTTTTATTGAATTACGCCAGTCTAGGAACTAAACCTTTTATTTCGTGATTTTCTTTCCTTTTTCTCCATTTCCTTTTTCCCTCATTAAGTATTCTTTCAAATTTAATTTTCTCTAAATTCCTATTTACAGCACTGGGCATCATTCATCTGAAAGTAATAGCTTTCGTTTAGAACATTTTTCATTTTTGTTTCTCTTCATTCTCTATTAATGCCACCCCCTCAGCCTGTTTCAGCCCAGGAACCTCGTGGCTCAGCCTTACATGTCCACCTCACCATTGTCCCCATGCTATACCTCAAACCAGTCAGTGCTCCAAGTTACTCCTTTTACTAAGTCCCCTTCTCCCTTTTACCATCTTATGCTCACTTTTCTACCTTCACTACTTTTCATTTTCTCATTTTCTCTATTTCCAAATTCTCTGCACCCTACTTCTTCATCTCAGTCTGCCATCTCTATTTAGCCCTTTCTCCTTATCTACTTGAGAACCCATTTTGCATGGATAGTCCAACTATATCAATTTCTTTATTTTTTTTTTTAAGATTTATTTATTTGTGCATACAGAACTGGGGTACAGGCCAGAGGTTCAGGGGCGGCGAGAGGCTTCACCAAAGACAGACTAGGGAGCAGAACAGGCAGATCGATGAAGTACACTGCTGAGGGGAGCAGCGGGCGGGCCAGGAGAGGTCTGCCGCACCATGTGGTCACCTCCGGGGCAGGCAGGAATCGAACTCATGCGGAAATGGCTTTAGCTTCTTAATGCTGTGCTTTTAACCCGCTGCGCCACCAGGGAGGGCCGTCAATTTCTTTTAAACCCATCATCATCTCCCAAGGCAACCTTATCAGACCCTCACTACTTTTTTCTTACTCCCTTTATACTTGTTCAGTAGGGAAAAAAATACTGCTCTGCCAACATGTCATACAATCTGTTAGTCATTAGGGATAATTGATGAGAAAACAAAACAGTATGGGCTGACCTTCAGAACAGTGCTGACTTATTCTTTGATAGTAGATCTGATAGAAAGTTATAATATTGATTGTACCCACCACCATTTTATATTAATCTTATTTCCCAACCTGTCTCCTCCCCACCCCCCACCACCATGGCTTGGCTACAATCCCATGTAGATTTTCTGTTCTTTCTCCAGAATCATGATTCACATGACTCATTGTTTTTTTCCAGTTTCTTAACTCAGTTTCAAAAACCCTGTATCTCACCATATTGTCAAGCCAATCTGTCCCTCGTTGCCCGTTTTCCTTTCACTTCAAGATTTCTGTCTTCACCTCAGCTTTTCCTTTTTCTAGTCTATGTCAGAATGAGAACCCCTTCTTTTTTTCTGAATGTAAACCTTTCCAATAGTTTTTTCAGATAAACTCTAGAGAAAAACATAGGATGACAGAAATTGTTATTTAATGTACATGTATTGTGTTAGTGCATGTTTATCTCTTATATATTCTGATAATAGTGCTTAATATGGTAATAATATGGTAATTGTGTAGGTGGCATAATTTGTGAAGGTCTTTTAAAATATTATTTGTTGTCTATATTAATATCTTTAGTGGAGCAGCTATTGTATTACTAAAATGTATCTCTCAAAACTGAAGTAGATTTGTTCTGTTTTACTCAGAGAGTTGTCTATATTAATATCTTTAGTGGAGCAGCTATTGTATTACTAAAATGCATCTCTCAAAACTGAAGTAGATTTGTTCTGTTTTACTCAGAGAGACTGGTGGTAGTGGCTGAACACTGTGAACGGAGTCTTGAAGACCTTCTTCGAGAAAGGAAGCCCGTGAGGTACTGTAGAATATCAACCTTATTACATGGAAAGCAGAAACTGGCAAAAAAGAGCAAAAAGATATTTTAATAGAGACTACAAGGTTTTAGATTCTTCTGTTACTTGATTAATGGTAAAATTATTTGCAAATTTTCTTCTCAGGTGATCTAATTCACAGGCCTAATAGAAACTCAACCTTGCCATTGTCTGGTGTTCACCCTTGTGAAGCAGGCATTGAAAGTACTTGACATAACAGTTCCTAAAGAGGATATGTATGGAAATGTGTGATCTTTTTAGGACTAAGCATTTCATTAACTGAGGTTAAAGGTATTTTCCTGAGAGGAGCATAAGCTAACTCCTCACAGATGCTCATATTCCTGGGGATGTAAATAGCTGTGTGAGGTAGAAGCCACCAAGGCTAGAGAGCAACAATGATAAATTTGGTTGGAATCTAGTGATCTAATTTAAGTTTAATTATTTGAGAGACTCAGTAAATTTATTTTCTGTCTCAGTAGAGCACATGGTCAAAACTTTTGCAAATATACTGTTACATGTATTACTCACATTTTTCTGAAATTATCTTAAAATAATCAAAAATATTTATTTAATGAATAATGAAAATTATATTCAGTCAATGAAAATTGCTTGCCATGATTCTATAATGTAAACTATCTATTCCATTTTAAATATTTTAATTTTCATTGGCTCATACTTTTCTATCACAGATACATTTTAAATGAAAATAAATATTTTTCAAGAGACAAAAAAATGTATATCTTACTGGATAGTAGAAATTTGATGAATGTAAAACAAATTAAAAGCACATTCCTTGCTATTTTAATTGCTTTGCTATTAGCTGTCTCTGGAAAAAAACATGGGGATAACGTATTCGATTGCCTTCTTGCTTCCTTAGCAAAGTCAAATCTGACCTTAGGCAATAAAAGTGACTTGTTTCTGTATTCAGAAATAGCTTAATCTTACTCTGATTTAGTGACTGTGTTTTTAATAACTACAATTTTTTCATGTCACAAATCTTTTATTTGTTTTTAAAGAGATTACTCTTTGCTCACCCTTTTAAATTTCCACTTTCATTGACTTGGCTGAAACCAATTCTCTGGGAAAATTAATTGACTTTAAAATTAAAATTGTAGTTCCAGCTTTACCAAAAACAAACAAACAAACAAACAAACTATATGTTCCTTCAACCTGAATTTAACTGGTACAAAGATTGAAAGCCAGTGGTAGGTACATCTTTATGAATTTTAACTAAGTCTGGCTTAAATGTGCATAAAGATTTACAATGCATTGTGTATACAAAGGCCACACACAGCTAGGCAAGCTTGGACAACTATCTTACATATTCCTTGCCTGTAATATAAGTTTTACTTAATCTAGGAACCATCCTGAAGAATATTATTCTCAATTAGAATTTTATGTGTATCTGATAATAATGTATTGATTAATTGCCTTGTAAGTATATATTTTTATGTTTTCCTTTACCAGTATGTTAAACCAGTATATTTCATTTGTAAGTTAGCACATTTTAAAGGTTTATATGGCAAATTCCTTGACAGAAAAACCCATGATAAATTTTAAGTGTTAATATGCGGTGCTATATTTTGAAAGACTGAGTTATTACAAGAATGTCTACTTTATGATACAGCAACCCCACTCCAAGGTACTGGATCCTCCTCAACTCTGTGTCCCACTTCGCCTCACACGCACCTCATGCTAGTCCAGCCCTGCCTTGGTATTTAACTGAAGAAGGGACAAATCCATTCCATTGGAATGTTTGCGCACAAACATTTTCAGAGACATTACTCATGGCAGTCCCACTCTGGAGAGACCTCAAATGCCCATCACTGGGAGTGTGTATAACCAGGCCTGGGGATATTACTCAGCAATAAAAAAAAAAACAAATATGAATTACTGATTCAACACCATGGATAGACCCAGACTGAGCAAAAGTATCTAGACCCAAAAGATTCACTTCCTCCATTTATGTGAAGGTCTAGAGCAGTGCAAACTCCTCTGTGGTGGCAGGAAAACAGTACTTAACTCTGATTGGAGGGGGGGGAATTGGTTATGGAGGAACTTACTGAAAATACCCTTAGGGACCTGTGGAGCCATGGGAATTTTCTACATCTTGATCAATGTTATTATTTCCATGGCACATGCTCTTGTGAAACATGTCAGAACATGCTGAAATGTGTGTTTAAGGTATATATGCATTTTATCTGGGTCAGTGATACCTTCATTGGAAACAAACAAAAAGCTGTTGAATTACTTACCTGGCTTGACTTGGGAATCTCTCATATAGCAATAATAGTATGTTAGTAAAGACGTTTGATTTATTGGTGTACTTGTTTCTATAAGAAATAGTACAAATTAGTTATGGCTGCTTAACCAATTACCTCAACATTTGGCAGCTTAGAACAACAAAAAGCATTTATTTTATCATTAGTTTCTCTGGATTAGGAATTCAGGAATGACAGAACTGGGTGTATCTAGGTCAGGATCTCAGTGTAGCAGCTATTGTCTGAAACTTGTCTGGCATGGATGACCTGTTCCTAAGACAGCACACTCATTTGGTCCCAACTGTGGGCAGGCAGTTCTTGCCTGCCTTGAGGACCTTCCACTAGACTCTTGTCTGTCCTCACAGCCTCACTGGCTTCTCTCAGAGAGTCAAGATAACAAGCTGGCCGCTGAAATGTCTTGATAACCCAGCCTTGGGAGCACACTGCCAATGGTGGTCAGTCACGAAGTCTGTGCGGTGTGGGATCATGGTCACTGGGTGTCATCTTAGAGGCAGGCTGTCACAGTGTCTTTAGAGATCAAGCTTGTCCTTTAAAAACAAACACAAAACAAGAGTGAAGTAGTAAAGCAACATTGAATTAACTGGAAAATAACTCAAATTCTTAAAATTACTCAGTACTCACTGGGATACACCAGAACAGAGGAAAGTGAAGAGAAGAATGTAGAATGTTAAGGGGAAATCCTCAAGTACCAGAGGTGGGGTGGGGTGTTCACAGACATCGCTATGCTGTCATCTCATTGCTCTACTCCTTTAAAGTGGGTGCTGTCCGTGGGTGCATGCTCACAGCCAATCAGAGGACGCTGTACCCCCATAAGAATAGCTCTCTAGCCTGCTGCTGGTGATAGTGAAAAGTTCCTTCTGATCTCCATAGTTCCCTCTCTGCCCATATATGTCTTCTGTTTCTTACTGAGATAACTGAAGCAGAAGACAGAAGCTGGTGACTCAGAAGACAAATTTCTGGATTTTCAGGTTTTTTAATTTTACTTTCAATTTTACCACATATGGATGCACTCAATATTGCTTTGCCAATAAAATCAGATCCATTAGCTCATAAAACGGTCGACATTTCTGTGCTGGTCATCCTTCCTCCTTCTAGCGATGATAAATCCTGGGAACGTAGGCGTTTTTAGGATGTGGAGGTGTGAAGGTGTCTCCTTTCGGCTGCACCTTTGTGTTGTCTTCATAACAATAAAGCATTATAGACAGACGCATTTTCTTTGAGTAGGGAGATGAACAAAAAGAACTAACTGCTAATATAACATTGTCTTTTATGCGATTTATATGTTCTTAAAGTCTTTTTTCATTTACCTAAAATAGAAATTTTAGTACTTTTATGAATATTTGTGATCTTTTAAAGTAAGACACTAAAACATTTATATAACTAAAGGACCTTTTTTAAATCACTCTGGTAATAGACTCAAATTCAATATTTTCCTTGTACATTTTGGGAAATAACATTGAATACTTACTGCCTCTGAGAAAAAGGAGTCAGTCAGGTTCCTTCCAAGTTGTTATCTGATCCATCCATCTAAATTAGCTTTGTTGAAAACTATTTGACTTTCCACATATTTGGATTACATTAGTCTCCAGTAACAGAACAGTTTCATGTACATAATTGATGTGCTGCAATTTTAATTAATTCTGTAACCTGTTTATGGAAAGCGAGAAGATGTTCTTATGGCTTATAAATCAGTTCTTTTCCCTACTGCCAAAAGTAAGCACCCTGCACCTGTAAGAAAGGCTGGTGCCAAGTAAACAGGAACTCTGTGTGGACAGGTTGCCATTGGAGACCCGTGGTGTTCCTTTGTCCATCTGTGTCTAACTGCTGCAGTACTCTAAGCGCCCAGTGTCTGGTAGTTATTTGCAGTGACTGTCTAAACTTAAGCATCGTTCAAGCTGTCTGTCTTACGGGATTTGCATTTTGAAAAAGATGTAACGATTTTGAAACTTGTTGGGATGTGGAGTAAGTGGAGTAGTGGAATGAAAACTGTAAACGTAAAGAATATGCTTGTTGCTGTTTACTCACTTTTTCATGACAAATTTATTATTGAATATGCTAAATTGTACTGGATCATTGTAGTTGTAATTTACATTACAAATATAACTCATGATTATCTTGGGATTTCAGAGCCCAGGAGGAAATCAAACACTTTTTTCCTTAATAGTTTGAATGGCCATAAAACCCTTTTCAGAATTTATGTTCTTCAAACAGAAAATGGTGATTTTGTGTGTTGTCCTGGAGGTTTTATCAGACAGTCTTTCATAAGATAATGCTATTTGTATAGATACCTGATTTGAAAGAGAAAACTCCCCTCCATCTTCTTCTGAGCCTAATCAAGCTCAAATATAAGAAATTGACTTTTGGAGAATGTTACTCTATTTTCAGTGGCTTTTATACATTATTTGTGCCAGATTTCCTTCTTGCCAACATTTCTCTCCAGTTTCAGTTAAATGATCAAAATTATTTGTTGGAAACATTTAAACTTGGAATTCAATTAAACTCCTATAACCATTTGGTTTCAAGGAAAAAAGCACACCATTTGGAAGCTTTGTTTGAAGTCATCTCATATTTGGTGCCTGTGTATCTGCTTAATTGCTAGCCTGAAGCCAGATTCAAATTGGAGGAATTTAAATCTCAACTCCTGCCTGAAATATTTCCAAAGAATGTTAAGAAAGAGATACACCTTCGTCACTCCTGTGAAA